TAAAACTTGAAGAAGTTACTAGGAACTGCTATTTTCTATTATGACTGCTTTTTAAGAAATGTTTGTTTATGGATATGATAAAAGCTAGGTCACCAGTACTTTTAAGCCCAAGCCCCTTGGACACTGAGCTCCTTTCAGTTTTTGCATATACACAATTTATTCTTTGCAGCTAATTAAGCCGAAGAAGCCTGGGAATAAAGTTTGAAACAAAGGTATAATGTTCTTTGCCTAGTTAAAAAATAAATTAATTGATTAAAAATAAACAAATCAGGTTTATATCACTCAAGAAGTCAAAGAGCAAGGGCAGCAGACAGGAAAGGAAGCAGGGTGGGACTCAGAATTTCTCAAGATCAGAGCTGATCTCTTTCCAATGGGGCAGAGCCCCTCATTCTGCGGGCCAGGATGTCTTGTGAGCACGAAGCCCATGGACACGGCAGAGGATCTTGGCACTTCCTCTTCAATGGACAGAGGTTCCTCCTCTTTGACCCAAACAACAGAAAGTGGACAGTGCTTCATCCTGGAGCCAAGAAGATGAAAGAGAAGTGGGAGAAGAACGGGGATGTGACCAGGTTCTTCCAGAAGATTTCACTGGGAGACTGAAACTTGGCTTGAGGAATTCTTGATACACTGGGAAAACATGCTGAAGTGAACAAGTAAGTGGGAAAAAAACAAAGGTTGCTGTCCTGAGTTCAGATCTAATCAGCCCTGTGTGTGTGTGTGTGTGTGTGTGTGTGTGTGTGTTTGAGTGAATGTGAACAGGACCCCCTCATAGAGGGCTCCTCCTTGGGGTGCCTGTGCTCTCCTATCCTCCTCTCCCTTCTCACTCCTGACTCCTCTTCCTCACTGCACTTGCTTTTGCTCCTCTCCTTGTGGATTTATCACCAGCCTCAAGACTGCAGGTGTCACTGGGTTTTCAGATGTGGAAAAGTGATCTGGGTTCTCCTTCACCATTTAAACCAACATTTGTATCCTTTCTGAAGGCTGAAGATGACACCAAAAAGCCCCTGTGAGCACGGTCTTGATCAAACTCGCCCTTCTGGCTGGCCACCTGCCCACCACCTACTGTGTATGTCCAGAGGCCTCCAGCAGATCATGATGACACCATGGACCCAATAGCTTTTTCACTGCCTTGATCCCTTTTGTCAACAATTTACCAACGGTTATTCCTAACATCTTATGCTATTTTCTCTTGGTGCTACCTGATGGAATTTTTGCACTTAAAGTTCTGGCTGACTAAACAAGATATGTCAACATTTTCTTTCTTCTGCTTTTGTTTGGAAAATCAGTTACTTCTTTGAATGGGGACACTGTTCTTCCAAATGATATTGTCAATAAAACAATCATGTTAGACTTCAGGCCTCCAGGGATTCCTTTCATGTCCTGAAAG